GTGCCAAATGTTATCATGTATGTTTACAACCGTCCCATATACCCGTCCTTCAATAAATGTATTGAAAAATTATATTATAAGTTCTGTTGTTCAACTCTTGCATGTTCCCGAACCACTATGTTCACAAGGTGATCTCTCTTAACATTTCCTGCAGGGTCCTGAGGAATTTCTTGGACTGGTTCATTGTCATTGTTGATTGCATTTCTCTCCTGCACTTCCTCACCCTCTTGAATGAAGTCTTCAAAATTATCTTCACCATTGAGTAGACAAACATTATGAAGTACACAGCAGGCCATTATTGTGCGAGGGATTAAATCTATCCGTTTCATGTCCAGGTACTTCAGTCTCCTAAATCTTCCTTTTAAAAGAGCAAAAGCCCTTTCTATAACTTGCCTCATTGAGCTCAGTGCAGTATTGAATGTTTTCTGGTCCCTTGTCAACACACCTCTGTTGATAAATGGGGGAATACACCAAGTGAGAATTGGATAAGCCTTATCTCCAATTATGTATTCATCTCCAGGAAAATAGCGGTTGAGGTTTTCATGTACCCCGAACCATAGATCAGAATTTCTAAAAATCCTATTGTCAGGAACAGAACCAGGGTAGCCTGCAAAGCAGTCAGTAAACAACAAATCTGCATTACAGATGGCTTGTAGCACTATTGCATAAAACATCTTCCTTGTATTGTAGTACTGATGATTGATTTTTGGCTCGGGTATCGGTATATAACTCCCATCAACTGCACCAATTACGTTTGGCAGCAAACCAAGTCTGGCAAAGCGTCTCTTTGTCCGTTCAAGTGCTCTTCCTGTGGGCCATACTATGAATGTGTTTGCTTGCTCCTCGAGACAATAAATAACTCGCTTAAAACAGTCATGGAGAATAGACCTCCCCATATCAAACCTGTCCGCAACAGACCTGGAACAAAATGAACAGGATACCTCTATAAAATTACCCCGTAGCAGAAAGTATGGACAAAAGAAATATGATTCTTTTGGAGCATACATAAATATACATACCGAAACGACTCTGGCGTGGCCAAGACCCACAAAACCGACAAAAGTTGCTTTCGAACCTCTATTCGAGGTCTCCCTTCACTTTCATTTCCTTGAAGTAGGTGGCCTACCCTTAGTTCTAAATTTTCATACGTTGTCCTTGTTAGTCGAAAGTGTTCTCTGAACTGCCTGTCCGTATACCGGGGCACTGTCACGTCGTAATAGTTTTCATTTCTCACTGGTTTTTCAGGTGTTCCTCGTCGTCTGAGCCGGGTCTGACCCACCACAAGTGCCACATTTCGCTCATCCTCACTCTCCGAATCACTTTCTTCGTCGTACAATTTGAGGAACTGATCGGCCGCATTTATGGCTAAGGCTGCAACTACTTTTCTACGGTTGTCATTCATTTTCCTCGCAGATTTAAGACAAAGCAGCTCTTCAGGAAAATAGCCCGCCACCCAGTCGATTTAGCAGACGACGCGACCGTTCCCCAGCACCGTTCGGAAAGCCTCGGCTCCCCGAGCCACCCGTACCCCCTCCACCTCCTTCCTCGTTGGGTGACTCGGGGGGACTTTCCGAACGTACTCCTG